AAGATTTCAAGATTTTTATGCCATTATCTTGAATTGCTAATGTTACCTTAATAAAACAATGTTTGTTATGTCATGATGATGATATAAATAACTTGATATCTTGAGAAAACAGCATTTGTTTTGCAGTGATAAAGACACAAATATCACAAGGACTCAATAAAACAACAGAAAATAACTGATTTCCACAGGGGGGTGGTGATGGGAACCAGGCATCTGAAAAGTTTAATGCCTCTAAAAGCTGCCACGCATGAAGGTATTACATGAAATGCTTGTTAACGCGCAGACTGATGCCCATCACATTTTTTCCCGATAGTTTTAAGAGAATGCTTAGAGGCACATACAAGGCATTGTAAGGAAAAACTGTACCCAAAGAAAACTTTATCACTGTTTTACCATCATCAACATTACATATCAACTCAGAACACACGTCAGGGTTCACTTGTTGTTTTGCATATAAATAAAATGATCAGAATTGCAGACATCACAACCCCTGGTTCCCGTCACCACAATTAAAACAGAAATCTGAGTCAGTAAGTTTCTCTTCACTTTCACATCAAACCACTCTGAATGACTTTGTTCACATCTCGACAATTGATATATAGATATTTTGAAAAAAATGATGGATTTCCCCCTTAGGTGTGCTGCTAAAATGTACTGTACTCACATGGAACTGATTTGAAGAATTCAATTCAATGTACATGTTTTCAAGTCATCGCTCAATAAGACATGTTTCATTTTAAATGAGTCGAGACATTTAATTTAATGTACAGTCAATAAAAGTAACTTCCAAAAGAGGAAGCTCACTAATGATAGAGAGAGAGACTGAAAGACTCTTGATGTAGAGAGTGTGGGAGAGAAAAGAAAGGGGAGGTCCATGAAGAAGTAAGAGGAATGGAGGACAAAGAGAGAGCCTGCATTCAGCCAATGCTGTGGGTTCATTATTGGGTTTATATTGGATATTTCAGTGCTGGACGAGTTCTCCTGATGACTAACTGAACCTTTCAGTGACCGTGGATTCTTTTCTCTCTCTCTCTCTCTCTCTCTCTCTCTCTCTCCCTCTCTCTCTCTTTGTGCGTTTACTCCATCTCTCCTTTTCCATTGCCTGTGTCTGCCCAGCTCCCTCGCTTCAGCTCTTCTCTCTGATCTTCCGACCAAAGGTGGTCTGGACTTCAAAGGCACACACACACACACACACACTCACATTTCTTCTCTGACACATCCTCAGTAGCGCGCACACACACACACACTTGTAGACCAGTGTGCCATGTCTAGTTAAATAGAAAGTGTCCTGTTGGAAAAAGACAGGGATGATAATATTCAAAGATTTTTAACATTTCAGCACTATATTTGATAGACTATCATTGAAAAACTGTTTGTACATTTTGTATATGTTTGTAAAAGACATAACGTAAACAACATCTGCCTCCAGGAGAAACTGAACACTGCTTCTCTGGCACTGAAGACAGAGAGAGAGATACCCTTTCAAACTAGGCAGTGCTGTTCCAGCTCATAAACTAAATTATACATTCCCCAGACTCACCATCACTGCATTAGAAAGCACAGTCCTGTGGTCCAATGCTCCCAAAAATCATAAAAAATATCTTTGAATATATACTTTTTTTAAGTAGTAGTACTTTTGTAATTCTTTTCATGTGTAGTTGCACTATTCTTGGTGTATACCAGTATGTCCATCATGGATATATGTGTATCATGGATTTTGTATTGTAGTTAGAAGGGTAAAATAAATAAATAAATAAATAAATAAATAAATAAATAAATAAATAAAAATAATAATAATAATCAAATTAATATACAGCCATACACTGCTAACATGCTGTCATTGAAAGGCCATAGTACTTTTACCATTATTCCGTGTTATGGCTTTAAATTAGCTGAAGAATGCAGACTGACTTGTTTAGGACTTGAAGATTAGAACTTTTGACTTTGGACTCGACTCGAGACTCACCTTCACTGACTCAGCACTTGAATTGAGATTCAACTATCTTGACTTGGGACTTGACTCAGGACTTAAGTGTGAAGACTTCAGACTTACTTGTTACTTGCAGCTCCACCTCTAATGACTTAACTCATCTGTACAAGCTCAGGAATTTTGAAAAAGGCCAAGTCAGTTTTGGCTGATCATATCCACACTTTGTTTAAGATACAATTTGGCCATATGTAGAACAAAAAGACTTAAGAGCTACTATTGGCCTTTTAAACAACTTATAATGTGATTTTTATGTTGCAGTTATCATACATTGGCTCTTGACGTTAACCCAGCAAGAGTTTTATGCTGGATTTGCTGTTTATTTTATTTATTATTGCTTGTCTGGTGTCTTTGGGTGGATCATGCTGACTGTACAACAAATTGCCCCTCAGGGATAATGAAGATATCCTTAATCCCCAAATAGCACTTTATGGAAGTGAATTTGGGGTCCAGTCAGCAGAATCAATTGCGCATGCATCCAAAAGAGGCTGCACATGCAACCAAACAGTGAATTAGGCTGTTTTCTATTGGCACTACAAATCCAAAAAAACAGCACTAAAATTCTGGATGAATCTGACAGCAAATTCCCCTGATATAAGCACTCCAAGCCCAGAAGCTGAACCCTGAGAAGAGTCCTCCGTGTCAGCTGGTCTTAGAGCTCACACAGCAGCCTCAAAACTCAGACCACATCTACTAAACCAAATTCAAACTCAACAAATGATCGATCAAACACCACATTCTTATCCAAAACATTTAGACAAGATAACAAAGCAACAATATAATGAATAAATGAATCAAACCTTAAGAGAGAATTATACAGTGGCCCTCAATCTCCTCTCTGTCAAAGAAACTCAGCAAAGGCACATTCTGGCCAAATACAGGCTGACTGACTGAGTGACCACAGCCTGGCCATAGAGCAGGACAGAGAGAGAAAAACCTGGCTGGCCTGAGAAGAGAGACAATGTGGTCACTGTGAGATGGGGGGGTAGAGACAGAGATGCACTTTCTCCTTTACTTTCAAAAAAACAAACATATCAGAGATAAATATTTAAATACACGTTATATGTTACATGATTTGGAAACACTGTCATGTGATACAGTCAAGCCAATAAAACCTTTTTGAATTGAACTGGATTGAGTGAGAGATAGAGAGAGAGAGAGAGAGAGAGAGAGAGAGAGAGAGAGAGAGAGAGAGAGACTGAGAGAGACTTTTAGAGAATGAGAGACAGAGAGGCAGAGACACTTTTAGAGAAACAGATACGGAGAAAGAGAGTCTCAAAGAAAGAATGAGAGCGGCAGAGAGAAAGGGACTTCCAGAGAAAGAAAGACAGAAAGAGATACAGACAGAGACACTTTCAGAGAAAGAGAGACAGAGCCAGAGAGAAGGGTGTTTTGAGAGAAAGACAGAAAGAAAGAAAGAAAGAAAGAAAGAAAGAAAGAAAGAAAGACAGACGCTGAAAGAACTATTTGAGAGAGTTTGAGAGAGACAGAGAGAGACAGACAGAAGGAGAGAGAGAGAGAGACACTGAGAGAAAGACAGACAGAGACAGAGAGAAAGGAAATAAATACTTTGAGAGATGAGAGAGAGAGAGAGACAGAGAGAGAGAGAGACACTGAGAGAAAGACAGACAGAGACAGAGAGAAAGGAAATAAACACTTTGAGAGACGAGAGAGAGAGAGAGAGAGAGCTGCCACTGATGCCATTACAACCTCTTCATTCTACAGCAGCTGTATTCATTTCTTCCTGTACATTGGACTGATCAAAGTATTACTGTCTCACTGTGTGGTCAAACAATGGAGCCTGTATGTGGTCCAGGTTGCCAGGCGTGGGCAGTTTTTGTGCGTTTGTGCATCGCTCTCCAGAGTAATGTGATTCATAGATGATCTATTAATGAGAGAAAGAAGTTGAGCAAGTTAAATGTAGGTGTACTTTTATATAGGTCTGCACAATCAGTAATCGTTTATTAATCGTCATTCAGGGACATGAGAAGGTGTTTTAACTCAAGGGTGCTGAAATTTTTAGCCATGTATAGGTGACGTATACTGCAATGTCAAGCTACATAGCATGTGTTTTAATTGCTTGGAAACAACACACACACACACACATATACACATCTTCTAAGCCGCTTATCCTTCTGGGTCGCGGGGGGACCTGGAGCCTATCCCAACAGTCATTGGGTGGAAAGGAAGACACACCCTGGACAGGTCACCAGTCCATCGCAGGGCAGACAGACAGACAGACAGACACATACATCCACACACCCAGTCACTCACACATTCACACCTAGGGGCAATCTAGTGTGTCCAATTGGCCTGACTGGCCCTTATTCACCAATATCTCCCTAACTTTTTTCTTAAATTAATTCTTGAGAAAGGTCCTATGAAAAAGTCTGTGTCAGATTCATGACATGTTCTTAGACTGTTGAATCGTTCACACCTTTGTGCTCTTCAGCATGTGTAGCCAAATAAGAAAACATTGGTCAAACCAGTTCAGTAGAATGGTAACAACAAACCCACCATTTACAAGCACACATGGATCTTTGCTATGCTCAAAATAGTTTAAAGCTCTGTTCTTTTGTTATTATTCTCTTATTGTTTATAGCAGTTTAACAGTTCTGAAAACCCGTATCCTGCTTCCCTGTCATCATTGGAATATTATTCATTGTAATAGAGATACTGCAGATGCTCCAATATTTAAATGAGCTCTCTAACCAATCCCTGCATTTCCCAGTTTTTCTGAGCATTTTGACCAACCACAGTTCCAGATGAGTGGTTCTGTGGGTGCTCTGAAGAATCAAAGCATTCATGTCGATTATTTTAGTCAAGATAATGCAGGCCAGTCACATTATTGACTCAACAATGCATTTTAATTTATCGCAAAGCGTATTGCAACCACAAAATATACCAATATAATCACAATGCAAGTATTTTGTCCATGTTGTGCACCCCTAATGTGATATATTTTCTTTTCCATGTCCTTCTCTGTCATTGTGACCCTCGCTGGACCTCACAGACAGCAACTTCCTGCTGGGAAATGCTCAGGGCTCTCGCGGCTACCCCATTGTTTACTGTTCAGATGGTTTCTGCGAGCTGACTGGCTTTGCGCGGACCGAGGTCATGAAGAAGACCTGCATGTGTCACTTTCTGCACGGCACGGAGACGAGTGAGAGAGTGACCCAGCAGGTTCAGAAGACCCTGGAGGGCCAGAGGGAGTACCAGGCTGAAGTCCGCTACTACAAGAAGAATGGTACGCCACATTTAGAGACCTTGCTTTAAACTGGATGATTGTTTTTGTATGAGGGTTTGGTGCTCTCTAAGGCTCTCTGGACTTCGTTTGGCCCTATTAGCAGTGTTAACATGAAGTATAGTCTTATAGTAATATTATACATTCATCATTTTTCATTTGTATTCTTAACTTTCAGGCTAAACGACATTTGTGTTTTTAGGTAGACGGAGAGATTCTGTAATAAAAAGTTTGCAGAAAGGAAAAAAAACATCCTTTACATTTTTGCCATTACATTTTGAGGACTCAGCTGGAACTGATTGGTCTTGTGACTGGAAGAATAGAAGAGTTAAAGTAGTAGTAGGTGTACAAAACGGACAAATTAAGTTGCATTCAGTTACTATGAGATAATATTTAGTGGCAGAGGCTTTTGTGTAACTTTCTATTTAACATGTGTTTCCTGCATTTTTACTGACAAAACTTGTACATAATGGCCATTTTTACTGGAAATGAAATGATCTAAAGGGTGGTCTCTGACTTTTGCACAGTACTGTAACTCATTTATATATTATTATTTATGTATTAAACGAAATAGTAACATTGAATTCATAGGTAATAAAGCAGCAGCATATTCCCGTTTTCCCAGTTCATCCACACATGAATTTTCCTTGCTCTGTTTCACCCACTTTTACATAAATTAAGCATTTGGTGTTGAGCTGTGTCTGAGTGCTGGATGACATAGCTTCCATAAGGGCGTACTGGTATTGGTGTCACATGACTGTATTGATTTTACAGATATTGAGACAGTGACAAAAACAAGAACTCAGTGAACTGCAGTGTAATGTCATTATGTAGATGCTGCTGATTGTTTTGAAAAAAAATGTAAATAACCACAACAAAGCCTCCTCTCTAGAAATCTGATTGGTTAACATGTGCACTCCTCTGTAAGGTTCCTTTTGGTGTCATTTTAAGAAGAGAATTCGTAAGTCATTCTTTTAGCACAGAGAAGCAGTGCTCAGGAAACAAGGGGTCATTAACTGTTGTAAAATATCTAATACTGTGATATATTTGGGGAATTTTGCGATATTGAATTTTGCCAGTACTGCCTAATATTAGTGTCTGGTGTGTTGGATGCAGGAAACTCTGTAAAATCTATCAGAGTTAGAATTAGGACCGACAAACAGTGTCCTTGAGCAGAGCAGAGACCAAGGCCAATTTAGCTCAGGTCAAAGTTTAACACCATTATACACCATCTCTGTGTCTCATTTCTTCCATGGGCTGCAGAGAGAAATCTAATTTCTTCTCTTTTGTTGGACCTCAGGAACTCCATTTTGGTGCCTGCTGGACATTGTACCCATAAAGAATGAGAAGGGAGAGGTAGTGCTTTTCCTCTTCTCCTTCAAAGACATCACTGACTCCTACAGCAAGACTCACCACTGCTCCAAGAGTCAGGGTAAGACGTCAGCTGAAATAACCTGACGTACATAGATGATAACTTTTTACAAAGTACAAGCATGCTTTTCAAAAAAAAGGGGACAGAAGTGTCCTTTTTATAAAAGAACTTCTTCACTTTCGGTTCACTAAAGGGCCATTGAGTGGATGGTCTTTGAAATCAATCATTTAAAAGGTTCTGTATTGAACTAAAAGTGTTTTCCTGTGGTATTGCTCAAAAGAACCCTTTTTGACACCTTTTTTTGAAGGGTGCATTAATCAGTCAGAGTGAAGCCATTCAGAGTGAAATACTCTGTTCTAGAGAAACATCCAGAGTCTGAATTGCTCACAGTGGTGGTGATAGGAACCAGACGTCTGAAAAGTTCAATGCCTCTAAAAGTTCCCTCACAAAAAGTTATAACATAAAAAGTTTACGAATATGCAGCTTGATGTCTGAACTATTATTTTACAGTGGTTTTGAGATAAGATTTTAGTGTAAAGCATATGCACAGTGGTACATGGAGGCTGTTGGAAGACAAACTAGTACCCATAGACTACTTTACTGCCATTAAGATTCCATATAAAAACTCAGAAGACACATGTAGGTTCACAGATTATTTTGGATTGCAAATAAAACGGCTATTTTTGTACATCTTGTGACCCCTGATGCCTGTCAATACCACTGTACAGAAATATGAGTCATGAGTACATTTGCAGTGAACTCTTTTTATATTAAAACCACTCTGAATGACTTCACATCTCGAGAAGTAAATTGTGAGGAAAGAAATTTTGAAAAATGGGTGGAATTCCACTTTGAATTAATCTTACTTAAAGTGTGTTCTTCTTTTGTCGTTGCTATGACAGAAGATGGCATCCAGCACAGGAAGTCCAGCCGCTCACATCTGAGTCGTGCACGCGAGCGTGGGCGGAGCGTTCTGTACCACCTGACCAGTCAGTTCACCAATAGGAGCAAAGGGAAGCTGGCAAATGTAGGTTACCATGACAGCATGCTTATTATTAGATTGTTCTCACATTTAATGAAACATGCGTACGTTGCTGCATCTCTCTGGCTACTGCAAACTTGGAGCTGCGCCGCTTTGCTCACTTTTTTAATTGGCAGGAAGAGCTTAGCGAAGGGTCAAGACACACAGTTCATTGTCCTTTTTCTGCATATAATGTTCTGTTCTGGCTGTGTTCCTTTCTGATACCTGAAAGGCCTTTTCTTGTCTTTCCTCTTTACTAAAACGTCTGTCACAGCGTGTTTGAAATAGTACAGAAACTTGACCTTTAATATTTCCAGTGTAAAAATGAAAATGTCAGCACCGGATGTCTGAAGTTCTGTCGCTATATCCACCTTTGTGATCTTCATCTGAAGATTTTAAAACCTCGTTCATACAAGAAGAAGCTTCTCATTGCTATCTTTAGGCTGGAGAATGCAGTTTGGCTTCACTGTGTGTAACTATGTGGAGAAATCTGTCCTCATTGCAGTAATTCTCCATCATGAATGACCATTTTTGTACACTTTGATGCAGAGGCAGGACAGCATCAATGTTTATTAAAAGCTCTTTTCCCATAGAAAATGCCTTAGTAACAAAAATAGTCAGTGCTGCTCTACTGACTTTTATTTGTATAACACTTTTTATGAGACAGCAGCCTGATCCTGATTACATTAGTATATTTTAGGGTGATGTCTGTCATAGAATTAGCACACCTCTGTGATAAAACTCTTCTGGAAAGCAATAAAATGACTGCAGTTTCTAGTGGGTTGTATTTTCTACACACTCATATTGTTGCTGTACAAATAAAAATATCTCCGATTTTTATTTTCTATACCATGTAAACATGGTGCGCCCTAATATTGTGCAAAGTTCATGATGAATGGACCAACAGAAGTGCCCCAAAATCACAACCTCTTTGCATTAACTTACATTGAAAGTTGAGAATGTTTTTTTTTTCTTCTCCTGTAAAGTTAAGAATGTATTTTCCTTCTCTTGTAAAGTTATTATTTTGGAGATACAAGTTTCTTTGGACAGTGACATGTTTTTGTCACACATGGTCATCTGAACATAGAAAATCTTTTTTTCTAATGTGAAGAGATATCTGCCTAGAGACGAGTCTAAAATGATCAGGTCACCACTGAGCAGGGGCGATTTAATGCACAGGCTCAGCTGAATCCCATGCCCTGAGTAACTCAGGGCCTCTACTATCCTTTTTATCCTAGATTTATTTATTTCCCCTCCATCCATCCACACACATACACTAATGATTATCCTCATACTCATTCATATTTATGGTTGTTGATTGGCCTGATTTATTCAAAACAGCTCAGATGCTGATTGTTAGTCATGTGACTGCCTCTTTCCATGCTTACTAAATGTGATGTAATTTGTCCACCTCGGTCAAAAGGAATCTCAGTTGTGTCATGTTGAGTTATATTGATTTTAAAGATTTGAGCTAGACTGCCCACCACCACCTGTAGCTCCAGACCTCACGAGCAGGTTAAAGCACCCCTACCATTGAGTTTTGTAACTCACAAATTTGTGCCTTTTTGTGTTTTCGTCCATCAGTGTTCTCACTACCCAGCATGTGTTACACAAAAATTCATGTTGGCCAGAGTTTCTTGTTGTGCTCTTCTAACTGTTTTCTAGTAACCAGTATAGTAATAACTGATGTGAAATTCTTGTTATATTTACTGTGTTTATTATGTTGTTATATAATATTTTTACAGGCAAAATATACTCACTACTAAGACACATAGATTTCAACAATTTTATCTCAAAACTAGCATAAAATCATCTTGTGTTTTCACAGAACGTGTTTTCCAAGCCCACTTTACCGGAGTATAAAGTGGCATCAGTCCAGAAGTCCCGCTTCATCCTGCTCCACTATAGTGTGTGCAAAGCACTGTGGGACTGGTTAATTCTCCTTGCGACTTTCTACGTGGCCGTCACCGTCCCGTACAATGTGTGCTTCTCCACCCCTGATGACAGTAACCATGACGACCCAGAGTGTGATTCCACCTCCCGGAGCACCATCGTCAGCGACATAGCTGTGGAGATGCTCTTCATCCTGGGTGAGTATATGGGAGAGTGAGTGTGTTTGTGTGGGTTTGAGGGGTTTGGGGTGGTTCACCTGACATGTATTGCCATGACAACGCCCCATGGTAGCATCCTAACTGTCCACACAGATAGCAATTAGTGTCCACCCAAACTTCTCCTCCTTTTTTACCCCCTCACTTTTCTCTGCACTCTTGAAAATAAAGGTACTAAAAGGCTTCTATGGAGCAATGTGCTTATGTATTATATATACTTTTAATATTTTTGGTTATATATTTTTTCTTATTCTAATAGGATTTGTAAAGTGTTAGATGTTTAGAGCTGTGTTAAATGCCTCTGCAATTTTAGTTTGATCACAGGGCAGGGGTCCTTGTTTTTTCTTTCACACTCATAAATACACTAAGGCAGATTCCTATCAATGACAATAAGCATTGGCAACGCATACTGAATGCATACTGAATCGTAAAAATGTTAATGTCCTTCATTTTGTCAAGCATGTATTTGGTTTCAGCTTCACTCTAAAAGTGTTTTGCTGCTCTCCTGGGATAACGCTGCTTGCTTTTTTCTGGTATTGCTGTTTGTTTCGCACATATAAACTGATAAACACTGATAAATCCGAAAGAAATCCGAGTAAGAGTTCACATGCACTGAGAAATCTGATTACTGAGTTAAAATCTAGCTCTCTTTGTCAGATTTATTGATTAGACTTCTAGACCATACTCTGATCTAAGAAACTGGAGTGTGCTGTTTACGTGACCATTTAAATGGTCAGATAACCGCAGAAATCTAACTGTGATGATTGATTATTGAGTGCATGTAAAGACACTCATTGTAAAAGTTTCAAACCAACCATTCGCTTCCCAGCTGATTTTGAACTTGCTCATTTACATTGAAGTTACAAGGAGTGTTTCAAACCAGGCTGACTTTTGAATGAAGCACAATACAGGACAGTCAATCAGAACAGAGCTCATTTACATACAGTTTGGCCAACCTGGTCAATTTTCTAAGTCACATTCTGTTCCATCCAGAAAAATACACAATTAATGTTTATTTGAATTAATGGATTAATGATTTTCAGTCTGGCTGAGTCTGTGTGAGTGGGCTCTAGTCTGCAGATTTTGGGTCAGTCGGAGTCGACAGTTGGACAAAGAATCGAGTAGTGGGCGAACAGCACAGACTCAGATTTTTGGCCTCCCAATCCCAAAAATTGCTTTTATTGATCCGACTCTGAGCATACTCCAGTAGGTAAACTGGTAAACAACTCAATCTGAACCAAACAGCCGATGAAAACTGAGAGTGTGACAGAAGAAAATACAGCAAGTAAACAAAGAAAAATGGAGCAAAGCTTTTTAATGAGCTGAGTTTAAGGCGCATGCACAATCGAGTTTATGTACGTTTAAAACTCTAAAAACATATCTCTCTGATCACATTAAAAACATGACCCTCACTTAAACACGTTGACCTACAGCTTCTTTACTGTGTCAGAGCAAACGCCAGAGAAAACAGCCACAGTAAGCCATGCCACCTTTGTTTATTTGGGTCTCCTAACAGGAGAACGCATGAGTTTATGTAAGTTCAGTGAGTTCCGTTCTGTTCAGCAGCAGCTTAAAAGTTGAATAGTATGTGATCCCTAATTTTTTAGTGTGTGATCCCCAATATTCAGTTGCCCCAAAAAAACTGCAAAAACAGTCGTATAGTGTGAGATGCCCAGTGTTTTTATAATCTGTTAAGTTAAATGTCATGTAGTGTACTGAAGCCTTTAAAGATACAATATAGAGTCTGAGCATGGGAACTGGCAATGGCTAAATTAGAGGAAAGAACTGAGTAATAGATCTAAGCAATGTCAGTAAGGAAGCAACCACATTCATTGGTTTCAATGTTTTGTTTTTTTTAGTTTTGCTTTTTAATTTATTGTTTAGGGTCTCTTTGAAGTAAGCTCAACTGTTTTGTTGATGTACCTGAGATGCAGTACTAAAAAAATTAACACCTTTTAAAAAGGACATTGCTTTTTTATTGAATTTAAAAAACAAACACCAGAGAAATCTCAAAAAGCTATACAGACATTTGATATTTACAGTGTACATAAACCCACACAAAAATGGGCCTCTGGAGGCAATAAGTGGACAAAAGTGGACCTCTGAGGGAAAAAGTAAAACGCAAGAAAAATGTAGGTCTTAAAAGCCCTTTAATAAACCTTTTAATGGACAATTTTCTGTAAATGAGATGTACAAGTTTGAGACCCCATTTTAAAGGTAAAGGTTCTATACCAGTTAAAGTTGTCTTTAGCTGTATGTTGAGTCAGAAACCCCTTAGTGCAATTTTCAATCTTTAGTCTTCCACTCATATCTCTATTGCACTTATACAGGGTGTGACATCAGAGCTGCATTTCTCATAAAAGTGTAAATGAGGTGAAGACGAGGTGATGATTACACCCAACCCCTCCTTCACACTCTACACACACTCTTACAACAGCAGAGGAAGCCTAAGACTACAGATACCAGAGACACAGACAAACACTCAAAGGGATTACTGCCTTAATACATTATAGCTGATCTAAATTGATTTCTGACTGGCTGAGCCCTGACAGGCTCATTTTACACAAAGGGATATTTGCTCTGGATTACTGGTCTTCATTTGGTTTTATTAGCTTTTGTTTGTTTGTTTTATCTCACAATAAGCCTCCACAATGAGTGCAGGAAATGCAGACCACAATTACAAAAGGCACATCTATTGTGCATAAGCATGCATTTAACATTCAGAATATGCAAACATCAAGAGTGCTGAATATTCATAAAGCACTGTGTGTTGTCTACATGGTGTTTTCACCACCATTAGCATATTTCTTTACATATTCATTAATGCGTTTGTGCATTACAAACAGCCATTTCTCAGATTTTAACAAACAGAACAAAGTGCATCTGGAATTAAAAACATTATGAAACCCATGAAATATGTTCAATAGATGCTTAATAGACCTGTAATAACTGTACTATCGTGTTTGTGTAATAACTGTACTATCATGTTTGTCCACATTATGGAACTTATATGTAATGCTGCATCATGGAATATGTTTAATAGATGCTTAATAGACATGTCATAACTGTCTATCATTGTGTGCATATTTAATGAATAGAACAAAGTGCAGTTGTAATGAGCAATATTACGACATTTAGATTCAGTGCTGTTTCATGAAACATTGTTAATAGATGCTTAATAGATGGGTAGTAACTGTATTATTGTGTTTGTGCATTTCAAACAGCCATTTCTCAGTTTTACATTCAATGAATAGAACAAAGTGCAGTTGTAATGAATAACATTATGACATACATAATCAGCGTTGTATCATGAAAGATTTTTAATAGATGTTTTATATATATGTAATAACTGCTTTATTGTGTTTGTGCATTTCAAACAGCCACAAGTTTTGCGTTCAATGAATAGAATAAAGTGCAGTTGAAATTAACAACACCATGAAATATATAGTCAGTGCTGTATCATGAAAGATTTTAATAGAGGCTTAAAAGACGTAATAACTGTATTGTATTTGTGCATTTCAAATAGTAATTTCTCAGTTTTATAAATTGAACAAAGTGCAGCAGGCGTGAATCATATTATGGAACTTATACATGATGCTGCATCATGAAAGATGTTTAATAGATGCTTAATAGACATGTAATAACTGTGTATCGCTATATGCATTTCAAAAAGTCCTTTCTCAGTTTTACGGTCAAAGAATAGAATAAAGTGCAGTTGTAATGAACAAAATTGTAAAATACATATTCAGGGCTGTATCATGAAATATTGTTAATAGATGCTTAATAGACGTGTAATAACTGTATTATTGCATTTGTGCATTTCAAACAGCCATTTCTCAGTTTTATGAATAGAACAAAGTGCAGCAGGAGTGAACCACAGTATGGAACTTAAATTTGATGCTGCATCATGAAAGATGTTTAATAGATGCTTAAAAGACATGTAATAACTGTGTATCCCTGTGTGCATTTCAAACAGCCTTTTCTCAGTTTTACAGTCAATGAATAGAATAAAGTGCAGTTGTAATGAACAACATTATGAAATACATATTTAGCACTGTATCATGAAAGATGTTTAATAGATGCTTAATAGACATGTAATAGCTGTGTTTCATTGTGTGCATTTCTAACAGCCATTTCTCAACGTTACCTTCAACAAATTGCAGCTGGAATCAACAGCATTATGAAGCATATTTTCAGCACTGCATCAAAAAAGATGTTCAATAGATGCTTAATAGACATGTAATAACTGTATAATGTGGTGTTGTGCGTTTCAAACAGCCGTTTTTCACAAAGTGCAGTCAGAATGAACAAATGCTTTATAGATGCTTTTTAGCTTTATGTAATCATTTTTTATATACCACCTGCTGCAGATATCATCTTGAATTTCCGCACCACCTACGTGGGGCCAGCGGGTCAGGTGGTGTATGACTCTCGGTCTATCTGCCTGCACTACTCAGCCACATGGTTCGTCCTGGACCTCATCGCTGCCCTGCCCTTTGACCTCCTCTATGCATTCAACGTCTCAGTGGTGAGTTGATGTGTGGGTGAGTGTAGTTTCATTGCCTTAGTGATGACTCATCTATCTGTGGACCTTATGATGGCATTCATGCTTTTTCCACAAATACATTCGCCTGTCATGTGTTTGTCAGTGATTAAAGGTATGATCTTGTAATAGGGAAATAGGGAGATGCAATGTACTCATTTAGTTGTTTTAATGTTTTAGTTGTATTATCCAACATAAAGAACTCTGCTAAGTGCTATGACAGTCCACCTATACTGTCATATATATTACACAAATTCATCAAAATGACACATGGTAAGAGCATAAGAGCTTATGAGATGCTCAACTCAGGCAAATCAGGCACCATTTAAGGTGGAACGGGAAATCTGAACAAGAAGCTAGTGAATGAGAAGCTGACTTCAGCCTCGTAAAACGTCAAATGTTGAGAGGCATTTTACAAGAAACTGTTCTACTTTTAAGGAAAGGTTTCCTGCCAGAGATGTGAGAAACGCAGCTATAGCTGAGCTAAAGCTTAAAGCAGAGCAATGTAAGTTTTGGATCATTGTCCTGCTGGGAGATCCAACTATGATCCAGTTCTAGCTTTCTGGCAGACACAGACAGATTTTCATTAAAATCTCCTGATACTTCATTGACTTCTCAATGCCATGTATCACAACAAGGTTTCCAGGATCTTTGGAGGTAAATCAGCCCCAAAACATCACAGATCCTCCACCATACATAACAGTGGGGATGAGGTTCTTTTCTCCATAGTGATCAATCTGCTACAAAAAAGCAAAACTATCTTTTCTGTAGCAAAACTATGTTTTTTTCTAGAAAGCTCTATTTTGGTCTCATCTGACCACAAAATCCAGTTCCACTGTTGTCTATCAGACTCCAGATACTGACATTCTTGATTAGATGGATTTCTTCTGCCCACTTTCTGAACACTCAGGTGGATTGTATTTTCTTAGACTAAATTTGCTTCAGTTAAAGATCTGATGTCTCTCATGTTTTCCATTTATTTTGTTAAAGAATATCTCACCCTGTTGGCTTTGTGGGTTTCCTTAGATAAAACTGAATAATATATTACAACAAAAGGTTGCACAAGGTTTATTTTCTTAAGTCTACCTTTCCTACTTTGAAAATCATTTCATGTTCATGGAATCTTTTGAAAACAACATATGTCTACTATTGTAAGAAAATGCTACATGACAGAAAAAATGAGCCATCATCTGAATCTTTCAGCATGACTGAATTATTACAGAACACACTTGAGTTTAAGATTGGAGGCTCTTGTGTCATCTAATATGCTTTATGACGTATATAGACACACTGACATTTGGTGAGGAAGGTTCACAGTGTCCTAATACTTTGCTGTGGCCCTAGTGAAGACCTTACTCAATGTTCGATGATAACACCACCAGTGTTCTGTACTCTATTCCACCATATTTGTACAGAATACAGTTCTCAGATTCACTTCAATGAAGTTGTAATGTGCGACCAGTAAGCAGACGCTCGTGGATGTAAAACAGTGAAAAAGCTTTACTTGGGGATTCAAACAGAGATATCATCATCAATACACAGGCATGAGTCAGTTCCAGCGTAAGCAACAAAACACAGAAGGCGATCATAACAAAGTGGGGTAAGGCAGATCAGAGTCCAAAACACAGGCGAAAGTCAAAAACCGAATATCCAACAAACCAGACGACAGTACCAAAAGGGCAAATCCGAAAAGCAGAGAAAAACGAGAAATAGAGTCAAAACACAAGATCAAAACCAGAAAGAACGCTCAGTAGTTTCACTAGGAAAGCAATACCTCGCACTGAACCTGACTATAGCCCGGGCTAATACAGGTCCTGTGAGATAACATACAGGTGAAACTGATCAATATTCAGGAGAACTAGAGCGGTGATAGGCTGCTGATGATCTTTCCGGAGTCAGGTGATGAGGCGGAGGATTCTGGGAATCGTAGTTCTGAGGCTAGCTGGCCGAATACGTGACAGAAGTTGAGTTCAGTCAAATTTCATTTCTATATTGTTGCTGTCAGAACAAAACCAAGTGTCCAAAAGGGTCACTCCAGGAGAAGCAAAAAAAAAAAAAACCCTCTTAATTTTCAGTGGAAGGTACAGTAAGAATTGTTTCAAGTATTTTTGGAGCATTTCTATTTGTCTAGAATTCATTATGGAATTTTCACACACTGTAAAGACCAGCTGGTGTTTACCAGTGATGTAAAAAAAAAAAAACGGGAGAAATAGAGATACAAAGTTTTGTCCTGATGATATGCCAGTGCGTTTTACATTAGACACTGTCCTATAGCAGCTTTCCAGACATGTGGGTGCAGACCCCTAATAAGCACCACCCAGGGAGATGGTGGCAGAGACACTGAGAGGAACTATGAGCCTGTTTACACCTTGCATTAACATGTGTTTTGTGTCCAGATGGTATCTGGATAAACTTTAGCACTTTTCACTAAAATGCATCCCCAGTTTGACCAGATGAGATGCAACTGTACTATACAAGAAAATGACACAAATCAGCTTAAAAAGATTAATACCACACAACGTAGAGTTTTAATTAAACGCTAAGTTAAAGAGATTCCATTTTCAAAAGTTTCTTAAAAGTGAGCTCTGAGCTTGACTGTCTAATAACAGGCTAAATTGAGTTCCACAGTTTAGAAGCAGAATAACTAAAAGAGTCTCTCCATGTTTTCTGTAGTTTATGGAAGGTGTTTGCAGAAGGTCAGTATCTGCAGATCTAAGATCACATGTTGGAACATAAACAGACAGACAATCTGTGATGTAAGCGGTGCTATAAGATCATTTAGAGCCTTAAAAACTATTAGCAGAACTTTAAAATCTGTCCTGAAAGATACAGATATCCAGTGTAGTTCTTTCAAAAATGGGAGGCTTCATCAAGGCAGTTTTAAAAGAGCCCCTGGAAAAGCACCCGTTGACAGAGAGCAATTTACAATAGTTAAACATCATTTTAAACATAATCAAAAACTGGGAAAAAAATTACATAAACACACCTGTCATTTCTGTTTTACTTTCCTTTATCCTTTATATGATTACTATATAAGTCGACATGCTTTGCTCAGACAGATTCATCAGAATGGAGTGCATGAAGGCTTTTAGCATGGGGAGAACTTTAGCCTCACATAGCCTTTATCTGTTGGGAGATCATAAGTTTTATCTTTGGTGATGCCAGAGCCATCTGTGGCTGGGAGTCCAAGAGACTTTAACTGGCCTTGTTCTCTCTGAGTGGGTAAAACATTCCTCTATCTCCCCCCATCACTCAGTGCGATGCTGGCCAATGTGAGAATCTGTTAGCTGGTGTAACAGAACTAGCAATTAGCAGTTTAATCTGATCAGCGCTGTGTGTCTTGCAGACGTCGTTGGTACACCTGTTGAAGACAGTGCGATTGCTACGGTTGCTACGTTTGTTGCAGAAGCTGGACCGCTACTCACAGTACAGCGCAGTGGTCCTCACTCTTCTAATGTCTGTCTTCGCCCTGCTTGCCCACTGGCTTGCCTGTGTCTGGTACGTCATTGGCCGCAAAGAACTGGCCAGCAACGACCCGCTCACCTGGGACATCGGTAAGCTTACATGTGTATATCATCACTGTCCAAAGAAACGAGTATCTTCAAAATGGTGAGTTTGAAGAAGACAGCATAGATTTTATTCCATGCAATTTTGGAGCATTTCTATTGGTCCATTCATCATGAATTTTTTGTCAGAATGTAAGGGGCAGCTGTTGAGCTCAAATGATGTAGAAAAGTAAAAACTGACAACAATGGAGATACATGTTTTTCTTTGGACAGTGATGATATGTTGTGTATGTGAGTTATGTCTTGTGCATATAGTTACCACTTAATAATGTAGTAAGTACATAAGTAATAAGCAGTGAATGTTATTGGCTTGATACATTAGTTACCAGCTTTTGGCTTAGAAACCATTATTTATTCACTTTTGTTATTGTTTGATAATGTAATCTTGAGCAGCCTGCTAATAACCAACTAATGGTTTGTTAAGGCCAAATAAAAATGCATAATTCACTCTTGTTACTCCTTAATAATGTAGTAATAAGCAGCTTAAATAGATTAATAAACAACTACTGGGTTGTTAAGGCTTAATACGCATGTTACAGAGGGCATCATATGTTTCCAAGAGTTATCAATAAATGAAAATTGCTACTATAAATGAAATTATTTGTTGAACATTGATATATTTTATCCTGTTGTATTATGTTATTTTGCATCAGAACTAACAACACCTACTAACAGTGGTAACATCACTGTAACACTTAGCCTCTTATGCCTTATTGCTTTAAGAGTTTGCATTTTTAAATATGGGAAATCAATTCTAAAATTCTTAAGATTGTCATCTATATTACAGATTTCCTATCTTTATTTTTTTGGAATTTTACTTTGAAGTTGAGACTCTAGTAGTGACTACTTTTTTGCTTTTGTAAGGCAGCACATGGTCTTGCATTAGATTAGATCTGTTTTTGCAAAGTTAGTATTGCTTCCAGTCTTTTGGCCTGTAGTTATATGAACGGCAGCTTAGCTCTTTTCCTAGACCTTCCCTTTGCTCTCTCTCAGGCTGGCTGCAGGAGTTGGGGAAGCGTTTGGAGACCCCCTACACCAACGGCACAGTCGGTGGCCCTTCTATGCGCAGTGCTTACATCGCCTCGCTCTACTTCACTCTAAGCAGTCTGACTAGCGTGGGCTTCGGCAATGTCTGCGCTAACACCGACGCGGAGAAGATCTTCTCCATCTGCACCATGCTCATCGGAGGTGAGTATTTACTGAAATAACTGAAATAAATCTCCGTAACAACTAATTAGTGGTGAACATCTGTTGCAGGAAGCAGATAATCAATTTAATATGTTACTTGTTAATGCATAAACTTCAGCACCATCTGTCTGGTTCCCAGTTCTGGTCAGGGGTCCTCCTGCACTGTATATGGTGTTTCTTCTACCACATCTGATTTAACCCATTTTAATCATAAGTCTAGTCTGCGGCTGATGCTTTGCTATACTGTCGTCTGCTGCTGTCTGGAAAAAATGACATTGCCTTCCTCTCTTAATACATCTATGATGGGAAGAAATGACAATAAAGCTGACTTTGACTTTTCACTTAAAAAAGTGGTGCAAATTTATACTAGTCAAATGTGTGCATCATACGGAGGTAGGCGAATGTAGGACCATGGCATGCTTGCCCGAGCAGGGAATCAAACCCCAGCTTTTTCAAACTTTTTTGCATTTGTTTCAATGGTAAAAAACATCTTAAAACAAGACTGTATGCACAACAGTAACTTTAAATCAAATTAAAATCACTAAAAATCTACATTTTTACTTACTACACAAATGGTTTTGATTAGAAGTTTAGAATTTGCACTTTCCACAGACTTTCTCTGCTTAAATAAACTTCATGTCCAAGAGATTGTAGACAACTGCTCATCCAGCTTTTCTTCTAAAATCAAGGGTATGTAATAGGGAGTCAATAGGGAAGGATTTACACTAGAGAATGTGATTGCATTCAGCCACAAGAGCATTTGTTAGGTTGGGTACTGAAGTTGGATGACTAGTTCTGGATCCAACTCATCCCAGAAGTATTGAATGGCGCTCCATCACTCCAGAGGACAATGCTTGGGCATGGTGACTCATGCTAGGCTAATGTGTGGCTGTTCCAAAGCATCCCATTCTATCGGCAATGCTTTTACTTGGAGATCATACAAGCTATGTCTGGATACTTTGGGACACACACACACAAACACACACACACACACACATAAACACACATATATATACGGACAGTAATAAATGCAATATAAATGCAATTAAGATTAACCTTATAAGGTCTAAGCAGCTATATGTTCTATAAGCTCTCTTATGTTCCTCTTGCAGCCCTGATGCACGCGGTGGTGTTTGGCAACGTGACAGCCATCATCCAGCGCATGTACTCACGCCGTTCTCTCTACCACACACGCATGAAGGACCTGAAGGACTTCATCCGCGTGCACCGTCTGCCTCGGCAGCTGAAGCAGCGCATGCTGGAGTACTTCCAGACCACTTGGTCCGTCAACAACGGCATCAACGCCAACGAGGTGAGAGACGCTCCGCGGGCGGCTTTATTAATGTTTAAGTCCAAAGTTTTTCAGTCAGGTTCTCAAGGAGCTACACAGTTTTGTTCTAGTCCAATTTCCAACACCCATGAGTCACATAATGGAGTGATGCCTATAAGGCGTTTGTCCTCCTTTGTGACTTGAAGGTTGTGGTAGTCACTGTTTGACCCCGTTTGGAAACTTCAAATAATGTACAAATCAGCTTATAACACAATAACCCATTTCCTGTGGTGAATATGAGTTCAATAAATCAAGTAAACCTTAATATGGTTATGTTTTACTAATTAAAGTAGAAAAATAACAAAGTTAACAGGTTTAAGTTAGATTACATCAAGGTAATATCGAGCTGTTATAGAGTTACACTCAGCAGTAGGTTACAGAGTAGCTTGCATTTACAGCCAACAGTAAGTGTCTAGGCCATTAACCATGATGTATAAGAAAGATGCATCCAGAGTGGAAGGTAGGCCATGGGGAAGGACAAAGCAGGTGAGTAAAACAAGAAAAACAATATGCAAATAATTGATATCAGGAGCCAATGGGAAAGATGTTGACTTGCATTGACCAGACAAACACTTATGAAGTAAATCTGACAACTAACTTAATTTCATTGAAATAACACAACTAACTCAGTTTCCCTGACCCCAACGGAAACTCATTAAGCTACACTAATAAGGGCAAGACTCCTAAAAATTGTAAGTCACTCTGGATAACAGCATCTGCCAAATGTGTGAATGTAAATGTAGTCTTATTAATGCTGTCTTATGAATGCTGTCCTTAAGTAAAGTGATGCCAATACTTTCCACCAATATCATGAGTGACACAAAAACATTTACCAATGACTACATACGTGTGGGGTCCTTTGTGGCTCAGGGTCCCTAAGCAAATGATTATACCATGCGAGACACAGCCCTGTGCACAAGGAAAGGAAAGGTCAAACTTTGATCTTATGTCTGTCTAAACTCTGCACAAGTTGGTTTGTAGTTCATACCTAAAGTAGGTGTCTGAGTATTAAAGCTTTCATGTAGCAGCAGTGCAACTAGGGATGAAACTGATCAAAACATTATGTTGCATTCCGATTATAATTAATTGGATAAAACAGGGCTATGCAAACTTTTTCTTTGCTACTATGTGAAGTGCTTCTTGAGACAAATATGAGAATGTGTCAGCCGAATGTCCGTTAAGTGCTGGGAGCATATAGGCTACTAATTACAATGACTAAGCTAAATGATACAATTAAAGATTTTTCAAAGCAAGGCCAGGATTATAATTGATTTTATTTAAAGCAGCACTCAGAGGGATTTGAAAATAGAGAGCGAGCGAGCTCATTCAAGAAAGATTAGATTTAGTACAACAAAGCTTCCGTGCTGCATTTCACACAGGGAGTTGTATTAACCCCTCAGATGGCCAGGGCCCACCTGGTAGGCCCAAAGTTTTATTACACACATATATGATCTAAACACAGCTCAATCCGTTTGCATTGGAGTTTTTGTAGTTGCTAAATAATATGCCTTAGTATGTAATAAGACTGGGATTTTAAGGGGTTAAAGTTCAGCTTATTGCCAGCACAAAGCCACACACTCCTTCATTTCCACCTAGTTATACACTCAGCTTTGCTGTTTCAAGCAATGCTAGGCTCACTAGAGGACTTCCTGTGGGTCTTTACCCCTTTAAACGGCAGGCTTATTGAGCAGTTATTGATGTTAAGATTTCTCTATAACTCAGCAACTTAGTAACTAATTTATTCAGTAATAACTATGAAATATTCAGTAACTACTAAGAATTATTCATGCAACCACAACAAATTGTTCAGTAACTACTATGAAAGATTGTGTAACCACTATGAATTATTCAGAAATTAACATGAATTATTCAGTAACTACTATGACTTATTTATGTAACTACTACAAATCATTCATTAACTACTATTAATGATCGAGTAACTATTATAAATTATTCTAGTAACCACTATGAATTATTCATTAACTACTGCAAATTATTCATTAATCACAAAGAATTATTTTTATAACCACTATGAATTATTCAGTGACTACTAGGAATTATTCATTAATCACTTAGAATTATTTCTATAACCACTATGATTTTTTTATACTAACTATGAATTATTCTTTAATCTCTAAGAATTATTTTTATAACCACTATGAATTATTCATTCATTCATTCATTCAATTATGAATTGTTCAGTAACTAATATAAATTACTCAGTACTTAATATGAATAATTTAGAATGTACTACTATATATTACTCAGTAACTACTATGAATTATTCAGTAAATATCATAATTATTCAGATCTTAATATGAATTACTCAGTATCTGTTATGAATTATTTCTGTAACCACTGTAAATATTTAGTAAATAATATGAAATATTTCTGTAATGACTATGAATTAACTACTATGAAGCTAATATGTGTGTTCTGTAGTTGAGTGAGTGAAGAGCTGAATTGAGGAACATCAAAAAGTACCTTTAGCTTACCTCTGATTGCATGTTAGCAGCCTCACACTCACAGAGTAGGTATCTTGTTGGCACATTCAGTATCACACAAAATCTGGGTCACATCTACTTTCACTGAGCTAATTTACCACTCAACGTGTCCTCGCTGAATAGAGCCTTTGTTAGGCTGTATCAGTGGTTAGCCCACACTGGAAAGCAGGCACGGCCAATTAGCTAGCACAGAAGAGTAGAGGTTTCGAGGGAGGGGAAAAAAACAGATGAGTGGTGACTAGCTCATTTGCACTTTGTCTGCGTACTAATTTATTCAGTGATTAGAAAAAAACAGAAAAAAACACTTCACACAGTTCACAGGAACTCTGTGCCTCTTAACAACTGTTGCTAGCATGTCGCCTCGCTGCTGTTAGCATGCTTGGAGATCATATTTAGCCTAAAGTGTAACTGCACTCTCCACTTTCAGACTCTGCTGTGTGCCCATTTTAGAAGATTGCTCAAAGAAGCAGAAAACTGTGCCATGCATTGTTTTATTCCCTATTTTTAAGCTGAATGTTTGATGTCAGTGATAAAAATTCCCATGAAGTTTTGGTGCAATCTAGCTCCAGTGTTTTAGTTCTGTTTTCCGCTGGTTTAGTGTTTTCCTGCACTAACTTATTAAATCAAGCTGAAAAAGGGCTTGAGCAGTATTTAATGAGGTGTGTGAGAGTAGTGCGTCCAGGACCGGGCAGGGAAACACTGGTCTAAAATGTGTCAGGATGTCACTTTTAGACCAAATGCAGAATACACTGCACTGTTCAAAGCACAAACATTATACTTCATTTGTATTCGTCATTTTTGCATGTGTTTCATTCCTGTGTTTTCAAGTTTTATGCATGTGTTAATCTCACACAGATGTACATGGAGCAGTCGCTAAGATGGCCACAATTTTTAGGATTTATATATATATATATATATATATATATATATATATATGAATACATAATGAGAACACTTATATGCACACACACATTATCTATGCCATTTATCCTTCTGGGTCACGGGGGGTGGTGCTGGAGCCTATCCCAGCAGTCACCCTGAACAGGTTGCCATATTAACCATGACTCTTACCTTCTGGCTGAAATAAGTGAGAGGAGATTTTTCCGTGGCTCAATCTGCACAAACTGCGAAATCCAAGACTCTCTGCAACCGAGTAGAGGTGCAAATAGAAGCTATGAACATCCCTGTGGAGTTATTTGTTTAGCCCATTCAGAATCGGCACTTGATGGCTGAATCCCACCATGACTTGCATTTTCTTCTTGCTCTGGTAACAGAAACATTTGGCCAATGTCTTCATAAATGAGATATGGTCACAAAACAGGAGATAACTCGTTATTGTGAGGATAACTTCACTTTGTCATGCTCAAGTTTGCTCTCTCAGCTTGGCTAATCAACCATCCAAGGTAGACAAAGCTCAAGTGTGCTTCTTATTCGCCAGCCATTCACCTTACTCAAATTATCCTCAGACACCAGAGTGTAACTACTGTACTATTTAAGCTGGACTGGAAAATTCTAAACAGTAGCTGGCGAATAAGAAGCTAACTTCAGGTTCATCCAAGGTAGGCTAACCAAACCATTTTTTTCCAGTTCTGAGCGCAGCAGTGCAGTGTTTTATGTTGTTGGTTGTTACTTTTAGGAATACCATGCATTTTATAGTATGAAATAAACCTGTAGTCAATTCACAGCGTGTATCATCTCACAACCCCCATATCAAAAAAACTGAGAACATTGGTGCTTAGCATGTCACGCTTTCTTTATTATGTAATTTTGTGAGTCTTAGCCTCAGATATTCAACCAGTGTGTCTCTTGTCTCTTTTAGCTCCTGCACGACTTCCCTGATGAGTTGCGGGCAGATATCGCCATGCACCTGAACAAGGACATCCTGCAGCTGCCACTCTTTTCCTCTGCCAGTAGGGGGTGCCTGCGCTCCCTCTCTCTGCACATCAAGACTTCTTTCTGTGCCCCGGGCGAGTACCTCATCCGGCATGGAGATGCCCTGCACGCCCACCACTTTGTCTGCTCCGGATCCCTAGAAGTGCTGAAGGACGGCATGGTGCTTGCCATACTGGGTATGTCACATCTAGCAATTAAGTCATATTATTTTTTAATGCAAATTCTCAAAATACCATGTTGTACATTAACACATGCACTATTTATGATATGGAAGTTCACCATTGGATTACTTTGTACCTGTGCACAAATACACACTGAGTTTAATAGGTACACCAATCTTGTGCCTGCTCTCACTGGCCATTTTATTAGAAACACCTACCATACAGGTGCACTTTGTAGGTTTACAGTTATAGACTGTATCCCATCTGTTATCAGTTTATCAGCCTCCCTGCAGAAAAGTTTGCTGTAGGAAATCAACAAAATGTTGACCAAGGGTGCTCAAACATCCACATACAACGATATATGGGAGGTGTTTCAGATAAAATGGCCAAAGAAAGTACCTCATAAATTGGCAGCCCAGTGTTTGTAGGACTCTAAGGAATGTGAGTGGATGTCGTGTTCAGGTAAGGGGGATCTGATCGGAGCAGACCTGCCGGGCCGGGACCAGGTGATCAAGGCTAATGCAGATGTGAAGGCTCTGACCTACTGTGACCTGCAGTACATCAGCATCAGAGCCCTGCGTGAGGTGCTGGATTTGTATCCTGAATACGGCAGCCGCTTCACCGAGGACATTCATCACAACCTCACCTACAACCTCCGAGAGGTGTGACCTGTGTTTCTACTCAGTGTTACATTTATTTACACAGCAGCTGTTTGACTGTGTGGTGCTATTATCTTTACTCTGTCTCTGTATTCTTTCTTCAGGGCCAGACTCGATTTCCTCGCTCACCAAAAATCTCACAGGTAACATGTTTGTACAAACACACACATGCAAAAGTTTAATGGTGAAAAAAAAAAAGTTACACATCCTCTCCAGAACACATTTCTATACACTGTAATGCACAATTACAGTTTTTTTGCTGAATTTAACGTATGAAAAAAATAAAAATAAAACATGGCCCGTGCAAAAGTGTGACGATGCAACAGGATTCAGACGCTTGCGGATTAAAAGCGTACACCAAGCTTTATTCGAGGGCGACAAAGAAGAGGTCAAAAAACATGCGTGGGTCGTAACCAGAAAGCAGTACAAGATCACCGAAGTGATCATAACCAAAACAAACAAATCCAAGGGAGTGATCCGATATCGTAGTCAAAAAACCAGGCCAAACAATCAAAACACGTATCCAAAAACCATCAGCAAAAGTACAAGAAGGGACAGGCAAAAATCAAGGTCAGAGAGACAATACGTAGGTCATAACAGGTCGTAGCAAACAGAATAATAGAAACGCTCAGCAAGTTCTAGCAGAAACAATACCTCGCAATGACTAAGACTAAAGCCCGGGCTTATAAGCTATACTACGTGGGTCATATGACAATAAACACAGGTGAATGTGTTTAGTATTCCGGTGAATGTGAGCGCTGATAGGTGCGTGCACAACCATCCAAAGTCATATGATCTCCCGAGGGGTTGTGGGCAATGTAGTCTGAGTCCTCCTGAGGCGTGACAAAAAGTTGTGGTATGTTTTATGTTTTATTTTTTTTCCAATATGAGGAACAGAATAAATAAATAGAAATTGAATACCGAGTAACTTTAATATTCTAACTTTTTAAATCATTTTTTGCTGTTGAAACAGAACTTCTCATGTCCAAAAATCATAACTTTACAGTAGAAAGACAAAACGTTCTTAACTTATAATAGAAGTTAATGTAACACAATTTTTTAACCCCTTCCATGGTCATGGGCCCGCCAGCAGGGTCAAACTTTATTACACACTTCTATAACCTAAGAATAGCTCAACCCATTTGCTTTTTAGTCCCTGTAGTTACTGATCAGTAAGCCTTACTATGTAATAAGCCTGAGATTTTAAGGGGTTAAAGTAATTTTGGACCATTTGCATTGGTCCTTTCATTATTTTCCATTTTAATACAAGGAAAAGGATAACTGGACTCTTGCACAGGCCAAATTTCTTGTTTTAACTTTTTCCCAATAAGATAAAATTTGTAAATAAACGGTAATTTTGTGTTTAAATATGCAGAATTGTGGTTTTGGTGGAGGATATGTACTGTTTTTACTTAGCAAATCAACAAAACAGGGGTTCCAAACATTTTGAATGCAATATATACATTGTTGCTATGGAAACAAAACCTTGTATCTCCATTTTTGCTGGGTTTTTTTTTTACATGAACTGATAATGCTAGCTTCCCTCAGCTTTACTCTACCCTCCTCTCCACACACACGTATGTGCGTGCGTGTGTGTGTGTGTGTGTGTGTGTGTGTGTGTGTGTGTGTGTGTGTGTGTGTGTGTGTGTGTGTGTGACACACAGAGCGAGATTAAAAGACCAACAGCTATTGATTTGGAAGTAAATTAGGATGTGAAGTATCAGCTTTCTGCTTCAGCTGAATTTGTATGCACACTCTGCTTCCACATTATTACTGAACATGCATGCGCACAGAGTGTCCCAGGGTTTAATTCATTCCTGATTGGTCCATGGCTCAACCCACACATTGTCACTTGCATACATATACGTTGTTGTATCGTAACAAAACCTTGTATCTTTGAAAGGATAACTTTACAGGTGAGGGAAAAGAGATTCCTAACTTTCAAAGTACATTAATGTGATTTTATTCCCAGCAATTTTGGACCATTTCTATTGGTCCATTCATCATTAAGTGTTGACACAGTGTACAGGGCAGCTGTCACTTACAAATGATTTTTAAAAAGTGAGTAAGGATATGCCTGCGTTAACGAACATGGATGTACCTCTGTTAACAAGTATGGATATGAGGAGATGACTGTGTTTGTTGAGTATGGATGAGTAAGGCTATGGCTGTGTTTACAAGTATGGATATAGGTAAGGATATGACTGTGTTATAGAGTATGGATATGAGTAAGAAATTGACTGTGTTTACGAATATGAATATGATTGTGTTACCGAGTAAGGATGAGTAAGGATATTAATAATGTAGATATGTGTAAAAATATAACTATGTTAATGAGTATAGTTATGAGTAATAATCAAATGTATGGATTTGATTATTAATATTCCTCTTATATAATAAGTTATATAATAAGTATGTATGTCTATATGAGTGAGGATAAGTCTAATTTAACCCTGCCTGTGTCTTGAGCACTGCTACCTGTGATAATGCTGAATCTTGGATTAGCCCAAATAACAATACTCTGCGCATGTAGTACCACCTATTAGCCCTTCACTCACTCTCACACACACACACACACACACACACAGAAAATTCATTTGTACCAACATTTCTGTGAAGCAGTTGGTCACACAAGGTCAGGATAATTGGACATCAACTGAAAAGAGGCATGCCGAAAACATTGCTGACCTGTGGCTGGGGGGGTCCTCCTATAATTCATTGTCTCCTCTATATGTGTACCGTAATGTGCTTTATTGGGTATGTGGAAGGCAGACCACCATTGTCGGTTGTTCTAGGAAATGTCACCTTGCCTCAAGGTCTCACACGGCGTACTGTGAAAAGATGAGCTCTGAAAGAAGAAATAGTAATTCCAAATGACTTGGACAAACAGTTTTCCATTACTTTACTCTCTCTTTTCTATCTCGTAGTTCATTAGTGATTTCATGATAATTTGCCTATTATGACTGCCTCAAGGTTGAGTCATGATAAAATGGCCCTTTTTCTATGTGTTATAATGTTCTTACACTCAAAAGATTCTTTTTCTTTGCCTCTCTTTCCTGTTCTCGTTTCCTCTGTCATCTTTTCAGGATCTTCATACAAAGCTGCCCTTCATCGTGGAAGCGGATGAAGAGGATGATGCTGGACAGGAAGTGGGCAGGCAGCCTTTGCTCTCCAGCATGGGCAGCTCCTCATCCCAGTCCACTCTGAGCGCCATGCTGGGGGAGGAGCTGCGACATTTTAATATGCTCCGCCTCTGCCGCTCTCCAACGCAAGGTTACCGGGGACAGAGCCCCGCCCCGCCAGTGCCAGCCAGTGAAGAGCTGTGTGCGCCTGTGGTCGACACAGGCCCCACCCACCGGCCGGCCAAGCTACTCATCCCATCCCTCAACTGCGTCAGCCCGCTGGACCTGAGCCCCAGGTAACAACATCCACAGCATTAACTATGAATTAATTATAGGGATAGCTCAGACATGCTAATGTGGTTTCTGGCTCTGTATGACATACTGTTATCTATAAAAATGGATCAAAAGTATAGAAATATTTCAGGCTTCCAGGCTTGTAAGAAACCACATAAGAAAGTCTTTTGTAAGATGACTTAAGAACGCAGTTTTGAGGCAAGTGTGTGTTAATTTAAGCACACAGACTGCACAGTGATAACTGGTGTACTATCATTATTAGCTACATTAGCCTCGTAGCTCTAGTGTGATACTAAAGAACGAAACTTTTGGTAACACTTTACTGTAGGGCAGTGTTCATAAGGCTACAAGACACCTACATAAGCCCTTGATGGCAGCTGATATAGACCTACATAAGCATCTATAAACACTCCAAGAACCACCATTTGCTGTAAAGGGTGCATTTGTCAACTGTGATATTAAATTGACATACCATCTATGTCAGCTGACATTATTTTTTCTGTCATTAGGTTGTGTCATGACACTTTCTTAGGTGAAATGACATAGGCTTTGTTGCTCTGTCTATTTCACAGTGACATAATGCTATTAATATGACATAGCTTGACATTTTAAGAGGTTTGAACCAAAGTGAGCATTTTTGCGGCCCTTGGGTACAGTGAGGAGGCTTCTGGGTACTAAAAAGTACGTCTGCCATTATTAGTTCGTTTTTATTTACTACAATCATGCTTGCATTTAAACTCTGCAAGTACAACAGCACTGCTTATGTGAACTACTGTTAGCTAAGTGCTAACAAGCTATAGAAATTCCATAGAGATGCTAGCAGAACTTAGCATTATCATAGAGGTGGGTATTTTTCTCATGTTTTGAGATTTATGGCCCAAATTGAAGGCCTAGCTCTAATAGTGACAGTTCTCCACTGCATTTTACCATCTTTTTACACTAAGCTACAAAGTTAACAGTTATAATGTGAAAAAAGTGTTTTGACACAACCCATTCTCAGAAAGAATCGATGTAACCTGACATAGGGTATGTCAACTTGACATCAAAGTTGACAAAAGCAGCCTTTATGACAGATGATGCCTATTGGAATAATCCTTTATTAATGTTTATGTAGGTTTAAGTCAACTGTCATGATGAGTTTATGTAGGTGTTATGTATTCTTATAAATACTGCCCTACAGATGATGCCTATTGCAATAAGCCTTTATTAATGTTTATGTAGGTTTAAGTCAGTTGTCAAAATGAGTTTATGTAGGTGTTATGTATTCTTATAAATACTGCCCTACAGTAAATTGCCACCAGATGTTCTTTACAAAATCTGTAAATCTGTTTTTGCTATTCCTTTAAAGGCACTGCTCTAAGGAAATGGTCACATAGACATATGATATGTTCAAATTAAAAGGGCTCTTCAAACCTGAAAATGGCATTTGCTGAAGTGGCCGTGTGAATTTATGACTGTGGACCATAAACTAAGCTGTAAACTTTTGGTTAGACTGGACAGCTTGGTCTGTAGGTCTCAGGGTAAAGAAGAGAAATATAGTTGGTTATCAGGAAAAGAGATGATCTGAGAGTTTGCTGATGTCCTGCAGGGTTGTTGATGGTATTGAGGATAACGAACCAGCTTTTCACTTCAATGTGGAGCCCAGTGAGGTCAACCCTAACACACAGGTCAAAGGTGAGGACAACATTAACTGACTGGCCAACTTTTCATGTCCATGCTATGTTTTAGAAATTGTGAGCAGAATTTAGAGAGGATGGCAATAATGATGTTCTTAGAAACGCCCTTGTTATTTGTCATTCGTATGAGACTTAATTCACAGTTACGGCAGATGCCAACTCACTTTTAAATGTGTGCTTGTGCCTTCAGACCCCTTTCAGGTGAACGCAAACCTTCTGCTTGAGACTGAAGAAGTCAGACAAAGCATCTGTCAGCTCAACACAGAGGTATTCAATTAAAACACTAGGGCTGTCAGGAAAGACACAAGACTGCTTGAAAAGTCAACAATTACAATACACTTTCTTACAGAACCACCATTTATTATTTGGGTGTTTTCATGATTATAATGCATGTTTAAATTTTTACACACTTAAAAAAGATGGTTCTTCAAGGGTTCTTTATAAAAAACGGTTCTATGTAGATCCATGAACACTCAAAGAAGGCTTTGCATGATTAAGGGGTTCTTTGCATCATGAAAGCGTTCTTCAGATAATTGGAGAATGTGTTATATGTGTTTCTATTTAGAACCATTTTTGAAAAGGGTTCTATGTAGCACCAAAAAGCGTTGTTCAGTTGTTACAGGTTTGACATCATAACAATAGAAGAACCCTTTTGGTGCTATATAGAACCCTTTTTAAAAACTTTCTATATAGGACCATTGACATATATCAATCTGAAGAACCATTTAACAACACAAAGAACCCTTTAATCATGGAATGTGTTCTTTGAGTGTTTGTGGTTCTATATAGAACCATTGTCTTTACTAAAGAACTCTTGAAGAACCATCATTTTTAAGGGTGTATAGTAAGAAACAGAGTCTTACTGACAAACTCATTTAGACACATTTTTTTCCACACAGTGTTTTATATTTTTAAAAATGTTTAAAGTGTTTTTAAAGGTTTTCTCGTTTATCTGTTTCCATAGTACACTACATGGTCAAAAGTAATGTGGACACTCCTAGTTGTTGAATTCAGGTGTTTCAGCCTCACCCATTACTAACAGGTGTACAAAATCAAGCATACAGCCATGCAATTTCCATAGATAAACACTGGCAGAGGAATGAGTCCCAGGGAAGAGCTCAGTGACTTTAAATGTGTCACATAGGATGCCACCTTTGCCACAAGTCAGTTTGTGAAATATCTGCCCTGCTAGATCTGCGCCTGTCAACTATAAGTGCTATTACAGTGAAATGGAAGCATCTAGTAACAAGATTAGTTCTGCTACAAAGCAATAGACCACGCAAACTCACAGAGCAGGGGTGCCGAGTGAGGAAGCGTGAAGAGCACACAAATCTTATGTTGCAGCACACACTACAGATCCAAACTGCCTCTGGAAGCAGCACAAGAACTGTGTGTCAGGAGCTTCATGAAATGGGTTTTCACAGCCAAGCAGCTGCACACAAGCCTAAGATCACTATGTGCAATATCAAGTGTTGGCTGGAGTGGTGTAAAGCGCGCCGCCACTGGATTCTGGAGTAGTGGAAACCTATACTCTGGAGTGATGAAACAAGCTTTACTATCTGGCAGTCTGATAGATGAAACGTGAGAATGTTACCTATCAGAATGCATAGGGCCAACAGTAAAGTTTGGTGGAGGAGAAATAATGCTCTGGGTCTGTTTTTCAGGGTTTGGGGTTGGACCCAGTTCCAGTGAAGAGTAATTTTAATGCTACAGCAGACAAAGACATTTTAGACAATTATATGTTTTCAACTTTGTCTCAACAGTTTGGGGAAGCCTCTTTTCTGTTCAAGTGTGACTGTGCCCCTGTGCACAAAGCAAGGTCCATAAAGACATGGCTTGATGAGTTTAGTGTGGAGGAACTCCAGTGACCTGCAAATAGCCCTGACCTGAACCTCAGTGAACACCTTTGGGATGAAATGGAACATGGATTGTGAGCTAGACCTTCTTGTCCAAAGTCAGTGTCTGACCTCACAAATGCTCTTTTGACTCAATGGGCACACTCCAAAATCTTGTGGAAAGTCTACCTAGAAGAGAGGAGGTTGTTATAGCCGCAACTCCATATTAATACCCATACTTTTGGAATGGGGTGTCCAAATCGCATATAGGTGTGATGGCCAGGTGTCCACATACTTTTGCCATATAGAATATTTTGGAAACTTTGAAACGCTGTGAATGGTTTATTATTTTCAGTCTATTTTTATTGTTTGTCTTTTTTAAAAAATCATCATTAGATTACTTGATTACCAATATAATCAACAGAACACACAAACATGCATGCATGTGCTTTTATATTACCCAGATAAAGTAAAATCTAATAGTATGACAGCAATATGAATGTAATTCTTCCTTGAGTAATTATCTCTTCATCAACCCATGTTCCAGATGAACCGCTTGAACCAAGAAGTGTCCAATCTGGCCAAAGAGCTGCAAGAGATGATGCATTTCCTTCATACTCACATGACCCTGCCCCACTTCTCCTCCACCCTCCCACCGTACTCATCCTTCAGCCTCCACGCGCAGCCCAGCAGCACCAGCCTGTCCCCTTCACCTTCGGACTGGCCCACACGGCTACCCTTCAGCATGGCCACCCCAGCTCCCTGTAGACAAACAGAACAATCCACCAGGGACACTTTAGGGCTACGGGCCAGCTGTGGATGCAGTGGGGGACCAGCCCATGGTAGAGGGTCCGTGGTGGGTCAAGAAGGGGAGCATGTCCATCGACCCGCCAGTCCCCACAGCACCTGCCCGCACTCTTTGTGTTGTGCTGATCAGGAACGAGTGGCTGCCCTGGGTCTGGAGAGCCAGACAAACCCCTTTCAGACTTCCAGGACCACCCCCAACTCACCTTACCTGAGGCATCAAGCCCCTCGGCCAGTCCCCTCACTCATTAGCTTGGCCCCAAACTTCTCCTCTATCTCCGGTCCCACCAGAATGGCCCCTCAGTTGGGGATTGGGGCCTCTGTAACACAGAACAAAGCCCATCCTCTGTGTTCCCATGGCAACCTCAGCCAGTCTCACCCCTCTCTGAACCTGCAGACAACCCCTGACCTCACATGTCAACAATCTACAGCAGCCACGCCCATCCACATCTCTCTCACGCCCACTGGCCACCCTCAGCCCCTCACCGCTGTCAGTCCGCTGCTGCATTCTGGGATTTGTAGTTCCAGCACATCACACTTCCCCACAGGGCCCAGACAGAATGACCCAGTGGGGTCAAGTCCCATTCACATGCATGACCATGTCCAAACTGCCGCAGGGGAAATGACAAACACTGGAGATTTGGGACAAGCTGGGAACTAACATTGTCCAAATGTGACAACATATCACGAGGAAACATATCATGAAGAAATGCGGTGCATACCAGCTCCACTTCAGTTTTAACCCCTTAAACAGCAAGGACCCTTATGTGTCATACCATTAGCTTCATAGTAATTACCAAGGGTGGGCAATGTAATGATATCATTGCTGTGATTGCATTTCAGGACTCTTTTCTGAGTATATCCTGGGTATTATCAGTACTTCTAGAATTCTGGACAAATGCATTCATCATAAAGATTGATTTAGATGAATTTCAGGGACCACTCTATAGTAATTACATAACCTACACAGAAACAAGTAGCTGATGAGTAGCAGACCATTATCCATAATCTTTGGTTCTCTTATTTCCTTTTTTTTATTTTTATTCATACTTTATTTTTGCATTAACTTGAAAAATAATTTTTTTATTGCCATTTTTAAATGTTTGGTCTGTTCTGTTCACATATCTGAAACTAAATATCGTGAAACATATCATGTACTGTGGAAATGTCCTCAGGTATGTAATATATGATGTAATATATGTACCAAAACACCCATTCTTAGTAGTTAAGGTATTATTTATATTAGTTACTGAATAAAATTCTTTAAGATGAATATCTGATTAATAAACCTGCAGTTTAAGGGGTTAGTTTATTAAAAATGAGGTGGTTTCCTGATTTTGGGTTGCTTAGTCTCAGTGGGTGTCGTTACCTGAATCCAAACTATATACCTTCACCAAAGAATGAGTGCTTTCATGGCATTCCAAACCAAAGATGAATGGCATATTTTTCAAATCTGTACTTTAAATATGTAATAGATAGATACCCTTTAAAGTATCTACGTCTTATCTACCTTTATGTCCATAAGTAGGAAAAAACTGAGATTATTAGGTCAATTTTCACATCACAAACCAGAATTACTGCCAATTTGTTAAGAAACTGACGATTTGTTAAGAAAAAGCACATTTCAGTGAGAACAGCAAAAATAAAGGAAATATTGATGTTTGGCTTATATAAATATGTTAAAGTTACTCCCTCGGTTGGCTGCAACAGACATTGCCGTGGTCTCAGGGCCTGGAACTCTGCAGCTGCTATCGATAGTCTGAATGTCTTCTAATTTTTATCACATTCTACAAGCATACTATTTCCAAATAGATAAACAGTCCAATCAGTTACTTTACTCAATAAAATATGAATCATAAAAGAATAGTTTTGATAGTTTTATGACTTGTGATTAGCCAATTGTCAACCCAGATGGATCTACTGGAAAATGTGTACACAGCACAAAAGGTTTGACTAGTATTTTGTTTGATTCCAACCATGAATTGAAGCTCTCAGACATTTTTATAGTTTTTATTTGGTATTCTGCTTCATTTTCATTGACTTTCTTAAGTTATTTCACTATATTTAGTTCGGTATGTGTGAAACGGGCCTAGTTAGAAAGTTAGAAAGCAATATTGACATCTGTCTATATTGTGTTCAGTTCTGTTTTTTACTATTTTGCATGACATAAAATGTTAGATATACTTCAGCTGGTTCTTAGTAAAAGTGAAGGGACATCCTTGAATATATAATACATATATACCATGATATACATCAAAATATTTTAATTATACTGTGATAGACATTTTTGTCCAGATCACATCAAATTTTTGGCCATATCACCCCATTTAATATTGAATTGCTCTAAATAAATGATTGACATACATTTCTATGCTTCATTTTTAACAACTTTTCCTAATTTAATGCAAACAAGTGGGTAAACATAAAATGAACATTTTGTATGCATCTGTGTTCTTTGCTAAACATAAGAATTATCAGCATTTTACACAAATGTTGTTTTGGTTCTTTTGGATGCTAGTGAGGAAACTATAACATGCAAATTTATAATCTTCCCAAAAAAAACTTCCATCTGCTTTAGGGCAGCAACATAACATAACCACACCTGTAGCAGTGCAAGAACCACTGATAGTTCACATGACATGGAGGAGGAGAAAACATAATTCCCACCAGAACTTTGACATTTCTTGGAGATTTAAATTGTTGAGTGCAAGGATAAAAGATGCTATTACATTTGAAGATAATAGGCGGGTTAATGGCTCTTGGTTTAGATGTATGGTTCTGGGAAAAGCCTTCAGTTGGTATAGAACCTTTACATTATGTGGGGATTCTTTACATTAAAAATGTCCTTCACACATTTACAAACATCATCAGTTTTTAGGGAACCAAAAATGGTTCTTCCCTGGCAGTGGTCACTAACCCTGGTCCTGAAGATCTGCTTTCTTGTGGAGTCTAGATCCAACCAGAACCTGCCTCTCCTGCTCGACTGGTAACGGAGGGCAGGGTATTAGATGCAGGTTGGAACCAAACATTTGGTTGGTGACCACTGAGCTATGGCATTGCTCCAAAGATCCCTCTTTGGCACATTTACTTCTAAGTGTGTGTGTGTGTGTGTGCTGTATGCACTTTTCTGGGGTCACTAAAGGTTTCGCTGGCATCCTTTCACGGTTTATAAATTTAGTATGTTGATAAAGGCTCAACATACTACATGTTCTGCAAGAATCATCCACTAAATGTGTGTTCCACTGAGTGACCAGACTATGTCTGGTTTTCCAGTTCAAAAGGAGACAGATTTATTTCTCACATTCAAGCTGTTCTGGACTAATGGATTGATGAAGTGATGAACGTAAGCCGGGTGTGATTTGGAGCTGGTATGCACTGCCGCAGTGATACAGCATCGAGGCTGTGTCGGAGAGCTGACTGAAAGACGCTTTAAAAAAATGATATTTATAGGCCATATGGAGGAATGTCACAGATAGTGAGTCTCCATGGAGACTGAAGATAACGGGTTGTGCCTGGCACAGAGGAAGGACAATGAAATGAGGATTCCTCTGAGAGGCCGGAGCTCAAATCAGCTGCCACTGTCTAAATAAGTATATTCATTAGTGTAGTGTGCAGTGGCCTTCCATAGGGTGGGCTGAGAAATACCCCTGCTTTTAAATACTTTACACCATTTTTCTACTATAAGTGTCTGCATGGGGTGGATATATACAGCCTACAGTCATGTACTATGGGGAAGCCAGCATTGGCAAATTGTGTGCCGTGCTAATTAAAGCCTCACGCTGCATGATATTACTGAGAGCTTGCCTTCTGTGGATTCTGTGCTCTGTTTTTGTTCGCTTCTGTTGTTTACAGCCACAGCACAATGACAGACAGAAAAAAAAGTACCTTTCTGAATGAACTGAAGTTTCTACAGGCTCACTTTGGGTAGCCTATCACTCAGGAATGCACAAGGCACCAGTACTTAAATGCTGCATTATTCTCTGTACTTTCAATGGGAAAGGTTTCTAAATATTGCATAGGCTCTATTGCAATCACAGTTGGCTGATTACCCTATTTTTTGTATTTATTTATTTTTACAAATTGACGAATGTCAGTCTGTGCAAAGGTTCTAACTGCTTTGTTACAGCCTGTTAAAGTAATACTCCAAAGTCTTTCAACCTGGCCTCTATCTGCTGCATCTGTATATTGAACTAACCTGTCCATGCTCCACCCACAAATGGGTTCATTCAAAGCAACTGTTTCTAGGTTGGACAAGCTTTACAGGATGTTGACAAAAGTCTCATTCGACTCAATAAATTTAGCTTGGAGTTTAGAGTTCAACTTCAAAATGCTACGCTACCGAGGTCGACTTGTTACTAAACAAACCTGGCCGGTTGGTATGTGGCGCAAAATACATATCATTCGAAATTTTAATATCTTGACAAAACTCAGTTGTGCACGACAAGTTCATATTAAGTTGATTAACAGTTTTGCCAATATTCTTTAAACCTTGCAACAGTAGCTATAAAAGAACGCATTGGTGGGCAGAGCATGGAGAGGTCTGTTTTGATGCTGAAGCAACCTTAGCTACAACAGCAGCTGAAGCAGCTGCCCATTGACTTCTGTTATGTGAGCTGTATGTCAATGGGTTTTCTGTTCTTTCCTACATGAAGTGAAACATGTCAAAATGATCGTCAGTGGCGATGAACCGTATACTACAGGTGTGACAGATAGAGGTTAAGCTGAAAAAAGCTGTAGTATCACTTTAATGCATGTTGAGTGTAAAAGCAGGCAGCCTGCTCCGTTAAGAGTTACAGCTTTTTACAGGCTTTGAATGGCCACATAAAGTCATGTGTTTGTAAGGCTTTTGTGTTCTGTTTGTATTCACTTGCCTGACAGATCAACTCTGTCTTTTTGTAATGATGTTTTGCTTCAGTGCATTAATGCAAACTCGTCCTGTACACAGAAATAAATATCTTTATATACACTGATTCTACGTCAGTGTGGGTAAAGTGTTGCATAAAGAGGAGAAAAAACTCATCATAGGAAGGGTAACGACATGAGCTAATTAACACAGATGTGAACAATGCTAGCCTTTAGATAACTTTGCTAATGTTAACAGCCAAGAGATAAACAGTCGCCCCCCTAATGGAGCTGCAAACAGCTGGGTATAACTGTCCTTGTCTGTTTCTGTAGATTTACATGATGTTTGAACATCTTCAAGGTGAATCATTCACTAAGCACAGCAAATTGAAGACATTGCACCAGCGCAGTCACTCCCTGATTTGGTCTTCAAAATGGTGGCGACTATACATTGTGAGAATATATATGTGAGTGTGTGGGTGTGATATATATATATATATATATATATATATATATATATATATATATATATCTGCTTGCGTAAGGAGGGGAAAGTCAAAGTGAGAAAACAGGAATTTCCAAAACTGGAGTTATAAAAACTATTAAAAGATACAGAGAAAATGAGACTACTAACAATCATGTAAGACCTGGTAGAGACCAAAACTGTCCCCAAACAGCACTTACAGCTTTCCTCTTTGAGAAAGAGGAGAACATCAAGCTGCTTCAGGTCTGAAAACATCCACAGGTGTTTCAGTCCATCCTTCCACTTTGAGACGACAACTCAGCACTATGAGTCTGAAAGGATGTGTAGCTGTCAAGAAGCTCTTACTGAGAAAATGAAATAGGTTTTAAAAAGAAGAAACTTTTAAACTGCTGATATTCTCAGAACAATGCACTGACCACCCCAGAGTCCAAACCTCAACACCACTGAATGTGTTAGGGATTACCTGAATGGTGAGAAAATGCAACCAACTTCTAAGACTGAACTTTGGAGGTGTGGAAAAATATCCCTGTAGATTTCTTTGAAAAACTGAAAGCAAGTCTGCCAAAAACAATGGAAGCTGTAATAAAGGCAGAGTGTGGACACAATAAACACCGTACAAATTTGATATTATATTTAGTCTTTGAAGCTTCTGTATAATTTTTCAGTTAAATCTAAGTTTTCAGCTTTTTTCCTGATGCTGAAAAAAAGAATAGCTTGTACCAGTTGTGGCTGTTTCACCTGGAAATTAGACAAATGAAGGGTGGTCTCTGACTTTGGCTCAGTGCTGTGTAACAGTACGCTGAGGGCATTATAGAGCTGCTTACCATTTATTTACTTTCCCTCATATTTACAGATTCTTTGGCCCCTCAGCTTAAATGTTGCAGACATGTTGCTTCAGACAAAACACATCATTAGATGCAGGGGGCTTCCCACGCAGACGGCCTGCCAGAGAGATAGTGTCACTAACAGGCTGTGCACAGCTGAGCTTAACTTTGTTCTCCCTCTCTCTCTCTGTTTATCTTCTGTGAGACGCATGCAGATCAGATATTAGCCCTCATACTGATAATTAGCGCTACAGTGAGTCAGGATGAGGACTGGCACACACACTGCTGTTGCGCTTGCTCTGTATTTATGACCGTTATTGTGTTTATAATGAGACAGTGATGTGGACCTGCAGTACAGAGAGAGTTTGACTGTATGTGAATCACAGCTGGAATGTTTCATATGGGGTCTCAGAGTGGGTGTCAGGTCTAGCAGCCTATCTGCTCACAGAGCTATGCTTTCCATTTGCCCTCCTCATTAGAGGTAAAAATAGCTGCTTGTAGGCAACAGCACATTCTCACAAATCAAATTAACAAGGGTTTTCACACAGGGAACAACCGCATGGGGAGAAATTAACATTAAGAGAGAGAAAAAGACACGAAAAATTAACTAGCTGTACTGTGTACTGAAGAGATGACAACAACAATATTAGTACTAATAAGTCAGATTTGGTTTTAGAGCACTTTTAAAACAATTTATATTGGCCAAAATGCTCTATTATTCTAAGATAATAATAATAATAATAATAATAATAATAATAATAACCATCATATTTATTCATAGAGCATATTTAAAACCATAGGCGTTGATCAAAGTGATGTACAATTCAATGAAACAATAAATAGAAATGGAACAATATTTTTATAATAATTGAATAATTAATTTTACCATTCAATTAATAATAAAATGAATTAAAGATAGCAAACTATAATAATAATAATAATAATAATAATAATAATAGAAGTCAAGTTATTTATTTTAATATTATTATAGCTATTGTAATTATAGTAATTAGTTATTAGTTTGTTTATAAATTTTAATAATAAACATTAGTCAAATTAATAAAAAAATGTATAAGACAGCACAAAAAACAATAATAATAATAGAAGTCATTATTTATTTTACAATTATTAATCATAGTTATAGTACTTATAGTAATTAGTTATTGATTTATTTCTAAATGAAATTTCATATAATAAACATTAATCAAATTAATAATAAAATGAATAAAAGACAGCACAAAAAAGAAATAATAACAATAGTAATAATAATAATAATTATTATTATTATTATTATTATTATGATATTGATTTTATTATTGATATTATTATGCTGCATAAGCTGCAGCACCCTGCTACAGGAGCATAAGTGGCTCAGATAATGTGTGTGTGTGTGTGTTATTGTTGTCATTATTGTTGATATTATTGTTTTTTAATTACTTTAATTACTTTCATTCTGATTATATAATCTGCATTAATGCTGTAATTATCTCATTTTAGAAACACGTTTCTAGAGCTGCTCATGTTACTGTGCTCATTTATCCTTTTTCTCAGTACTGACTGACAGCACTGCGGTTGGTGACAGTGGACTTCCACTGTGTTTTAACAAAGTATGAATATTTAAATGCCTCTATATTAAATGAACATGCCCTGTCTGTTGGTGTAGTGGAGCTGTAGGTATGCAGTGTAAATCTGCTGTTGGAACAGTAGCCTACTTTCCAGAGAACAGCGTGAGAAACAGTGTATTCACAGCACACAGAAAATCTGGGTGGAAACAGAGGAGCTCTTCAGCTACAGGACAGGCTCTTATTAACGCCATAAAGCAGTGGTTAGGAAAAGGTTAGCCAATGTGTAAGTACTCATCCTCCCCCTTTCATTTTAATGATGGCCTACTCTGTGTGCTCATTCAGTGGATACTGCTTAGCTGTAATTAGCAGGGTTTGTGTCATCTGAAACCAAGTGAAAATATCAAATTTAATTGCCCGACAGTGTGAGAGTGGGTGGAAAGGAAACTATTAAAAGAGTTAAGTCAGAGTGTGTTCGATTTTTACAGTCTCGCTGAAGTAAAACAGAAGAAGCCAGACAGACACACAAAGGGAAAACTCCAGAATAACTCTGAGCATTAATCTTCAGAGAAAGGCATTGCTGGCTTTGATTTAGAAAGAGGTTAAATCTTATTAAGGAGAATGGACTAGGTAGGACATTTTCTTATGTCTGCAGTGCCATCCATAGGTGACGAGAGGTAACTACATGACCTTCAATCATACACTGTTGGCCTTTTTGAACCTACAGGTCAATCAGTTGTTCCAGACACAGTAATAGTTTACTTTATCAGTCAAACTGACTCAAATAATAATAATAAGCTGGATTTCTAAAGTAGCTTATTTAGCACTGTGCAAACGTCATAGAACAGTTCTGTTCTGGTCAAAACTGCCATTAAGGTACTTATTTTTCAGCATTTTTTTTTTCAGAGGAGATTAGATGTAAGAAGGAAGGAGAGAGTCAAAGGAAAATATCACTGTTGTCAGGAGAAAAACCTCGTATCTCCAAAATGGGAAATGGTAATGGTAAAAAATACTTTACTTTTAATGTAGGTCAATGGAACCAGACTTTTATCCAAGTCATTCTGGGCTGTTTCTTTTGGTCCATTCATCATAAAATTTACACACAATGTAAAGGATAACAGGCATTTTTAAAATATGTCAAAAACTGAAAAATGGAGATACAAGGTTTTGTTCTGACAGCAGTGATAAGTGGAAAATTTCCAAAACTGGAGTTAAAAAAGTACTAAACTATACAGAGAAAATGGGGCTCCTGACAAGCATGCAAGACCTGGTAGACACAAAACTGTCCCCTTATCATAAACAGCACTTACAGCTTTCATCTTCGAGAGAGAGGAGAAAATCAAGCTGCTTCAGATCTGAAAACATCCACAGGTGTTTCTGTCCATCCTTCCACTGTGAGAAGACAACTCAGCACTATGGGTCTGAAAGGAACTGTAGCTGTCAAGAAGCCCTCACTGAGAAAAGGAGCCTTAAAAAACATCAGCTGGTGTTCTCAGAACAATGGACTGACCACCCCAGAGTCCCAAACATCACTGAATGTAAGATTACTTGGATGCTGAGAGGCAGAAAATGCAACCAACCTGAAGACTGAACTTTATCTAGATAAACACTTTGTTGCAGAGAATGTAATTACTGAATGTCTCTTACTGTAGGAGAGAACAGCAAGATCATTTAAAATCATGTCTTAATATGAAGGCTTTTGTTCCAACATGCATCACAGATCTCCTTCAAAAATGAGAACTGTAAAAAATGGTTCTTTCTACATTATCCTTTATTTTCCCTGCCCTTATATTACATCAGATGTATAAAAGTAGCTCTTTTTAGACTAAAATAACTACAAATAATGCAGCCTTCACCCATTAGAAATCAGTTCAATTTACACTCTTAAAAAGATGGTTCTTTAAGGGTTCTTTAGTGAAGAAAATGGTTCTATAAAGAACGATAAACACTCAAAGAACCCATTGCATGATTAAAGAGTTCTTTGCATCATGAGAGGGTTCTAAAGAATGTGCTGTAGATGGTTCTATATAGAATCTTTTGGAAAAGGGTTCTATATAGAACTTTGGGTCAAGCTTGTAATAATAGAAGAACCCTTTTGGGTGCTATATAGAACCCTTTTAATCTTCAGCACATTCTCCATCAATCTGAAGAGCCCTTTCATGATGCAAAGAATCCTTTCCATGATTCATTATGGTTATAGAACCATTTCCTTAACTAAAGAACCCTTGAAGAACCAGCTTTTTTAATAGTGCACTTTAAATCTAATCCATACTGATAAAAATGGTTCTTTAAAATTATTTTACTGCACTCTTTAAAAAGACAGGTTCTATAGTAAAGGCAATGGTTCTACTTAGATCTATGGGTTCTGTAAGGAACCATTTCATGTTTAAATGGTTCTTTTTATGGTGAAAATGTTCTTCAGACTGATGGGGAATGTGTTGTATGTGGTTCTATATAGAACCCTTTTTGAAAATGGTTTTATGTAGCGCCAAAAGGGTTCTTCTCCTGTTAAGATGTCAAGTTTGTAATGACAGAAGAGCCCTTTTGGTGCTATTTAGAACCACTGACGACAAGTTCACCATCTGAAGAACCATTTGATCCAATGGTTCTGTATAGAACTCATGGTTTTTTTACTAAAGAACCCTTAATGAACCATCTTTTTATGAGTGTAGTGTCAACGGTATCCTTGCATGTAATAATAATATCATTCCTACTTGTAAAAAGAGACTTTTGGTGAGTTAGAACTGGATGTTTTACGCGTATTTCAGTTTTTGCTGCTGTACCTGAGGATGAGCAGTAACTAGCTGTTCTCTACCGCTGCAGGTGAAGCTGACGTGACTGGTGCTGCTCCAAGTCCGTCAGCGGTAAAAGTCCCTCCGCTCGGAAATAGGAGGATCGCTGAAGTCGCGGAAGCGAAGGCCGGCGGGGCCCGTCGACTGGAGAGCGGCGATTTTGGGGCGGCGAGCAGGAGACAGTTCACTCCGGCTTACATTCTTCCGAGAGAGCCACAAAGGTAAAGTTTATTCAGTCGACGTCTTTGCTCTTGACTTTGTCGACCGCAAGTATTAAATCGCTCTCTAGACGGATGGACGTTACTGTCTAACGCCTGCTAGCTCGATGCTAACCTGTTACGTTACTAGATAGCTAACATTAGCATCAACTCTCTATCATGAACAGTTAAAACTAGACTCATAACGACAGCGCTCCGTGTTGACAACGTATTTTTTTACACTCCTCGTCTCTGCTTGTGGTTGTGGAGTGCTTGTAGTAAAGCTGAAGACTCAACGTAAGTTAGTTTTGTTGTCTCACGTAGTTAGCTAGCTGGCTAAAGTTAGCTAACAAATAACTGAACAAAAGCTCTTGTTTCTATGGGCAGAAAGCTAACGTTAGCCTAGCTTAGCTAGCGGGGAGGGATTGGTGTTCGAAAGCCAGGTTCTGCTTTTTTCGAGATTTTTGACGTCGTTACAGTAAGTAGCGGACCACCACGTCGCATTCTCTTTTCCTCTTTGTATTGAAAGCGTATAAGAGCAGTCAAATATCTCTCTATTTTTGATTCAAAGCTATTATTTCTATAGCCGTCATGAAATAAAATGGTTTTGCAGAATCCAGCTAGCGTTAGCTGCTGCCCCAGTTGGGCTCAGTGCTGCTAAGTTGACAGTAAGTGCAGACACGTATTTCAGAGTTTGAGGCATTTAACGTTCATTTTGAAAGGCGTTTTCCTAATGCTGAGCACAGATTGCGTTAGATTGGTAAGTGCTAACTAGTTACTTTGCTCGTCCTTGCATCTCCAGAGAAAGCCCAGCTTTTAGGGCTTTTAGGGATGGGCAAGATGGGGCGGCTAGCTGGCTAAGCCGGGTTATCTTTGACAGAGAACGATTATGGAAATGAACCACTATGGAATTGAGTGTTTAGGATTATTTAGTAGTGGTGAAACAGTAATTAACGTAACCTACTTCGTCTTTTGTTGGACCACAGCTCAGGATCAAAACGTCCCATTTGACGAATAGAAAAGTTGCACCTTACTTTTCATTTTTGATCCCAGTTCTAGGCTCACAGTTAAGTTCAGCACCAAGGATGTACAAAATATTGTACGTGTGTCACTTCAGCATGTTTGAGCATTAAAAGTGGAACAGCAAGCCAAAAGCAACCTTGAGGCTAAAGCAGCTAGCTGACTGTTAGCCAGCTAGCTGAGTCATTGCTCTAGCCTTCACCAAGTTCTCTGTTGCCCACGCCTGTCTTAACTTGTCTCATTTGGTCTGAACACATTGTGGCCACTTTCATGTTTAATCAGTGTGAAACCTTCTTCTCGTTCCCCTCTTCGGTCTCTTGGACAGCAGTCCATTTCACAGCTTATTCCTAACCTTTGATACCCAGTAACATCACATAGCACAAGGACATGTTATATAGCACCGAAGTGGACTTTTGGTCTCTGACGCACAGTAACAGGGAACACGTGAACACGCCTTATGGTTTATCTGTGAGAATTTAATCTCACTTTTGCAGTGGTGGTTTAACAACTGACATATGTAGAGTTGTGGTTTGGCACATCATTGTGGAGAATTTTTTTCCCCCACATGAAAGCGGCATGTGAAGTCGCATATTAGCTTGTGATGTCAGTCGGCCTCAATGATATGGACGAGATACTAGTCTCTTGATTGTATTGCTACGTATTGTAATATGTCAGTATTTTAAAACACATTGGTGAATCAAGTATGTGATATGATGATATTTACACACAAATACATTGATTCTTATAAACACCCACAAAAATGTTGTCTGGAACTGTTTTTGGTCAGGATGCTCACTACACATAGTAAAAGACATTGGTTGGAGGGCTAATTTGTGTACAGTGCGATATCAGTATTGAAAAAGTCAAGATCATAATAACAAAGTCAATCTGAATCAGAAATCGTAATGCATTTTTAAGAATTCTGTACCATAACATATTGAAAGGCAGTATTTATTGAACCGTGTTTTCTCTCAGTGATTTGTGGGTGGCACAAGAGGGGGGAGGTGAAACATGATATTACTTTGCAGGTCAAAAATAAGCTGTCAGCGGGTTGATTGTATTTTGCAGGCATTTTAAGAGTTTTTTTTGTATGTGTTTATTTTATTTATTTTTTTCTTAAGAGAGAGGTTAAAATTTAATAAGCTGTAAAATGTGAATTTTTTTCTGTTTTCAGTCTAGTAAACCTTTGGTGTTCAGACAATGATGTGTGTTTTTAACTTTTGCCATGGTATCATTTGGAATCCAGCATTGTAATACCACACTCGGTGTCAAAATAGAATTATTTTATGGTGACAACTGTATTCTGAAGACATTTTGGAGGCAGGCAAAAGCAGGGTTCAACATTAATGATTGCCCAAATGTCTGGGGCAGTAAAAATAGGCAACCGCTGTGAAAATCTGTTGCCATTTGCTGGTGAGGCAAGCTGATATTCAGCCATAGGCTACTTTTGACAGTGAACAACTGTACCTCATATTGCCATAATTAAATTAAATCAAAAAATGCTTGGTGGTGCTTGTTTGTAACATTAATTGCTATTCAAATTGTTGGTAATGCATGATATCTTTTAAGAATAAATAGTTGTAAAAATTATTTATTTGATTATATTTGAAAAAATGTTTTTAAAATCAAAACTTGTTCAGGACAGTATAACCCATGTTTGGGACAGTAGACTTTCTGTCCACTTTCCCGACTGGTCACATTGGGGGGGATTAATGTTGAAACCTGAGCAAAAGTCACTAGTATTATATCACTGGTATTATATGGCGAATCATGCTTAATATGACCAGGGCAAGAATTGACAAGTAAAAAAGGCCAGTAACGCTTAACCTTGCTACATAACATTGACATATCCTTGGCATAAACATGTCATATGCTGTCATGAGTCGTCATGACTGATTTTTGTCCAGTAAGAGGGCAGTGTCATGTGATAAATTACTGTTAATTGTTATGAAAAATGTCATAATGTTTGGCAAACAAGAATATACTTAGCAAAAACTAGCTTGTGACACAAGCTGTCATGACATCAAACATTGTCATCTGACATGAGAATTACCGGTAATAGTAACAGCACGCTGTTAAATTGCTGAACATAATCTATCATGACGGCATATGACTTCTGTCATAACACCTTAATAGTATTGTTACGTCAGTGTTATGAAGCAGAGTTGACTTTAACAAACAATATATTGTGTAGTCCTACATGCAAGCAGGGCAGTTACTGGGCTTTCTTTCTCTGAGCTAGTCCTGGGTGGCTGTTATGCTGCTTTAGTAACCCCTGTTTGGGGTTTTAACTGTTGTTTATACAGACACAGACACACAGACACACCCCACCACCACCATCACCTTGTCTCAGTGGTTATATTATTTACTAGAAAAGAAATGACTAGCTTGAATTCTGATGCTATTTTTGGTGGAGTTCGAAGCGGTCAGCTTTTTGTACTTTTATTTCCTCCAGTTCTGAACTGTGTCCCTCACATCCTGTCATACACACTGGATGTCCAATGCCTTTGAGTTCAGTAAACTGATAAGCTGATATAATTCATTCCATTCCTACTGGACTGTTAGATGTAAGTGGTAGTTGATCTATTACTGTGTGATTTTAGGGATGCTAAACAGTTGTGAGTAGATTTCTTTTTATTTAAGATAGTCTGTGAAAACAGACTTGAAGAGCTAGATTTAAAAAGAGAGGCTATTTTTATGGCCAGTTGTAATATTCTGACATTTTTACTGATACTAAATTGCTGTCATGCGAGTAGAGCATTATCTCTTAGATCAACAATGTCTGCATAAGTATTATATAAAATAGCTCTGGCCATTGGGTTTATCACGAGTTCAAACCCACAGCACATTACTAATTAACTTTTATGAGCCCTAGCTCATTAACTTGTACAGCATTAACTGGCTAATAAGCCCTTTGAAAGCGTGCACCACCCTGTGTTCTTTCAGTCACCTCTGTACAAACAAACTGATTTTTAATGGCTCACCAAAAATCTGATTTGCGCAGATGTACCCCTTACTCACAACATAATAGTTAGGCCAAGGTGTATTTGATGTCCAAAGTTTACTTTTTCAGTTTAGCACTAAAGCTATGAGGCTAATCTAGCTGAAACTAATAGAAGGCAGTGCCTCAGAATTTTTCTGGGTGGCAGCAACTGATGTACTCCGCCAACATTACTATGGATGGAGAAATTACAATAAAAAGGTCTCTCACTCTTAATGGCTTTGATGGATGTGAGGCAGTATGGCTGTAAAGGTGACGGTAGTTATCTGACCATTTGCATTGCAGAACGCTATCGTCAAGTTAGCATTCTGCTAATATAGATAAGCTAACAGTTCTCTCTCTCAAGCCTGCGCTTTAGAAGCAGGTCCTTGACAGGTTCTCATAGGGGAAACTGTAATGTTCTGGGTGGTCGATTTCTGGGAAAGCATTTCCTATTTTTTTGTGCTTGGTGAGGTCACTCTTCCTTTCTCATAAACTGAAAGTAAATCTCACACTCTAGCACGTAGGATTATCATATCCTGTCTCACTACATTTTAGTCAGAACTTTCTTAAAGCTGTTATTAATGAAATCCCAACAGCCTGCTCACACCTGCCCATTTTCACCGTTCACATGTGGCAAGATTATACTTTTGCTTTCTTGTGTACTTTTTGCTGTGGTAAGTATTAAACTTGCACTTTAAATACATGTGCTTTTATAAATTGGAGTTTACATTCATGTCTGAATTAGACATGTAGTGACCTGTTTGTTTTATGAGTGAGTACTTTCATATTAAGATGCAACAAGTGTCTACCTTTATGTTTTCAGCTTATATATTATACAAATGTGTAACACTGACTTTCTTGTCACACATTCTGATGTCATGAATCCCCACACTCTGAATGACAAAATGCATTAAATCTGAACAGTCTGACATATCCAGAGATCCAAATCAGATTTGAAACTGCTTATAAATGTAGCTTTAATCCAGTTGCTGTTCTGGCTGCAGAAGATCTGTCCTGCTCA